GCCAAATTTTAAAAAATTAAAAAAAAAGGGCTAAAAAAAAAAAAAAAAAAAAAGGTTGTACCGCCTGCCCTTGGGAAGCAGACAGGCTGGGGCTGCGTGGGAAGGGACTTCAGTCTCCAAACCACCCTCTCCTGAGGCAAGGCTCGCTACAACCACCACCTAATTGTGAGATAGTTTGCCATCTGAGGGGAAGGCCAGGGACAAACTCCATCTCTTTTACCTCGAGGCCTCTGCTTTTCCGCGTCGTAGATCATGACCACTTCCGTGACCTGGAAGGGAGATGGGCGTCTGAGGGCCCAGGTCTGCAGGTGGCACGGGCACATCTGCCTACAACACTCCCGGCCCCCACTGCCTGGGACTGCCTGCCGAGTGCAGGAAGTTCCGAGGCAAAAGGCCGGCTTCCTGGGCTCTGAGACCCACGGGGCTGACAGCAGGCCGAGGGGTGCTCACGGGGCAGGGTAGGTGGCGGGTCACCAGGGGCCCAGGCCCCACGCTCCAGTGGGGAGACGAGAGCCAGGACCTCCCATCCGGGATCAGAGTCCACGGCCTGGCTGGGCCACCACGTTCCCTTCCTCGTCCGCTCCGCACAAGTTCCTGCCAGGCCCTGGGTACAAACAGGTACCACGAGGCAAGCACGCTGCAGCCGGTGGAAGCCTGGGGGGACTTCGTGTCTCTGCTTCGGATGAGGGGACAGCCTCCCAGCCCACTGGCCCCCTTAAGCCCTGCCTGTGTCCTGTCTGCCCCGCTAGAACTCAGCTCCCCCAAGTTTTTTAGCCTCTTCCAGAAAACAAACCCACCCGCCCCCCATCCTAGGGGAGGGGGCGGAAGCCTCACCCAAGCCCAGCCCCTTCTTCCTGACACCATCTAGCGCTTTCCACCACAGTGGCTACAATCGACCCGAGGGCCTTCCAGGAGGTCAGTGTGCCCCATTTACAGTAAGTCCTCTCCTGGGACGGTAACTGGCCACGCAGGGAACGTATGGGGCTTTGGTCTGCTTTGTGCCAGGCTCAGCCTCCCCAGGACACAGGGCTGCGCCACTCCCGCCCTGACCGACCTGCTGCTGACGTGGGGAGAACTCACCACTCCGAATTTCTTGAAGTATTCCCTGAGCTCTGTCTCACCACAATTGTGAGGAATTCCACCGACAAATATCTTATTTGATTTACTGTTATCACTCCTGGGTCCTTTCTGCTGTTTCGAGGAGGAGAAGGTGGTTAGTTCACGTGGGAACGTCCTAACGCTCCCCGCTGTTGTGCACGCTGTGGCCTCTGAAGGTCAGACCAGACACCCCAGGAGCCCAGTGAGTCCAGAAAACTGCAACGGCCGCTGTACGAATGAACGCGTCCACCCGCCGACAGAGGATGGGGCGCCCCAAGCACGCCCACTCACGGCGCCTACCAGCTCTGCGGTGTGGAACCCAGGGCTTTAGGGGAGAACGAGTACCAGGGTGGCCTGCACAAACCAGACTGGCAGACCAGGCTCGCTTCCAGGGGCAGTGTGTAAGCTGGTGACGCACAGACGGTGGAAAGTTCTGGTAACTGAGGCTCCATTGCCACCTCTTCCGCCTTCTGACCCGGACCCCACTCTCTGTGGACACCCTACGCTGCCACCTCCTCCCACCCCCCCAGACATGAGCAGCTGGGGACGCAGAGGCTGCACTTTTGGGTGTGGGGGCGGGGTGCCAGCGGCAGGGGCAGGCGCGGAGGTGGGTACACACACGGCCAGCCTCCGCAGCCACGGGTTCTGCATCCTTGGATTCCACCAACCGTGGATCAAAAATATTCAGAAAAAGGGGGCTTCCCTGGTGGCGCAGTGGTTGAGAGTCCGCCTGCCGATGCAGGGGACATGGGTTCGAGCCCTGGTCTGGGAAGATCCCACATGCCACGGAGCAGCTAGGCCCGTGAGCCACAACTACTGAGCCTGCGCGTCTGGAGCCTGTGCTCCGCAACGGGAGAGGCCGCGATAGTGAGAGGCCCGCGCACCGCGATGAAGAGTGGCCCCCACTTGCCACAACTAGAGAAAGCCCTCGCACAGAAACGAAGACCCAACACAGCACAAATAAATAAATAAAAATAAAATTAAAAAAAAAAAAAAATTCAGAAAAAAAAATTCCACAAAGTTCTACAAAGCAAAACTTGAATTTGCCGCACACCGGCCAACTATTTACACTGTATCGGGTATCATGAGTCATCCAGAGATGGTTTAAAGTGCACAGGAGGACGTGCGTAGGTTACAGGCCATTTTACGTAAGGGACTTGAGCGTCTGTGGATTCTGGTCACCTCGGGGGTCCTGGAAGCAGTCCCCGCAGATCCCACCGAGGGACGGCTGTGTAGATCACTGATGCTGACCACTGATGAATCTGGGCAGTGTTTTATTTAGGTGTTCACTGTACCACTCTTTTTCTGTATTTGATATTTCCTAACAGAAAGCGGGAAAAATACGCCCTTGGTCTGAGGCCCCTGATGGAAATGCCGGTGCCCGGGCCCCAGCCCCGCACAGCCCCCAGGCCAGCCTGTCCAGCAGGGCTTTCCTCGAGGACAGGGCACTCTGGGTGACGGCTGGCCTGGCGCCGGGGGGCACACGCGGCTCACAGAGTCCCAAGGTGGGTTCTGAACTCAGCAGGCCTCCTCCCTGGAGGGGAGCAGTCAGCAGAGCGCTGAGCGGTGGGGGGTGGGGGGCGAGGAGCAGTTGGCGCGGATACAACGGAAGGTTCCTAACGACAGATGGCTGTGAGCCATCGTGTGCAAGGTAGACTAATAAGAAACTTCTCGGCTACAAGATAAAAAACTTCCAACACTGAATCGACCCGAGCCATTCTCAGCTGCTCAACCTCATGCCGGAAGCCCTCCTGTTGCTCAGTCTGAGTGAGCAAGGACGCAGGTCGGAGACACGGCTCCCCTTGCATCAGTGGCTGCGGGACACCCAGCAGGAGCCCCCAGCCCCTTACCCAGCCTTCCTTCGGCCGCGTCCTCTCCGGCTGCATCCCCCGAGGCGTACAGGGCTTTGGGTCGATCTGTTGGAAGTTTCAAAGGAGCAGTGGTGAACAGGAGGCTTGCTTCCCCCAGAGAGAAGGTGTGAGCAGCAGGGCCAGGGGCACAGGGCCCATCAGGTGGCCCGGGCCGCATCCTGGCCCAGCGCCCAGTCTAAGCTCAGAGCCTTAACCCCTTCAAACCAACCCCATGGGAAAGCAGTCCTCGACACACACACACCACAGCTCGGGCACAGAGGCACGCCCAGGAGCCACACACAAGAAGACAGAGAGCTCTCTTCAGGGACCGGCACTCACGTTTCGGCCATCGAGGGTGTGTGGTCTGCTGGCCAGCACTGTGCCCACGCAGTTTGGGTCTTTGAATTTGACGAACCCAAAGCCTCGAGACTGGTTGGTTGTCTTGTCTTTCATGATCACGCAGTCCACAACCTCTCCATACTGGGAAAAGTAGCTGCGCAGCGTCTCTGCTCAGAGATCGAGACACACGCACATGCACAGCAGGGCATTAGGCAGGTCACACGCTCCCAGCCCGTCAGCCTGACCTGTAAAGTGTGCAACTAGGAACCTTTAAACTGGCTGATCCACTGACATGGGGGCAGTGGAGAGGGTGAAGGACGGGGCGCCAGGGAAGGGAAGGTGCACCCCATCTCCGTGGGAAGAAAAAAGGCCACAGCTAAGTAGGCAGAGCCAGCGGATCCCTAGCCCTCCTGGCTCCACCTCCACACGCCAACAGCCTCTGCCTTCAGAGCCGGCCACCCTGCCCGACTGTGACCATGACCATGACCACGAAGCATCAGGACGAGATCAAATTCCAAAGCCCACGATCATTCATCTCTGCCCCCATCAACTCCTGATCAAGTGCCCCTTCCCAGAAACCAAGACAATAAATAAGTCAGGAATTTAAGACAATTCACACAATCCAAAGACCGAGGTCCATTCGCACCTACCTTGGGTGGTGCTCCAGTCAAGGCCGCCCACGAAGAGCTTCCTGCAATGCAACGAGAAAACATTCAGGGTCAAGAGGGTTCTGCCCTGGGAACTCCCCGGTGATCCAGTGGTTAGGACTCGGCGCTCACTGCCGTGGTCTGGGTTCAAGCCCTGGTCGGGGAACTAAGATCCCGCAGGCTGCATGGCACAGCGCCCCCCGCAAAAAAAGAGGGTTCTGCCCAAGGTGCCGACCATCTGGCCTACCCTAAGGTGGTAACCCGGGGCACGGCCATGGCCCAGCCTCGTTAGTCAAAGGCATGAAAGAGGCCTCCAAGATCTGCCCACAGGGCAGGAGTGAGAGTTAGAACGTCCCAAGTCGCATGTACACGCTGACCTCAACCACAGTAAGAAAAGAGAGACCGACGGCACCCCCTACCGTGCCAGTTTGGGAGCAGGATCACGGGGCAGCTTCCCAACTGCTCAGCAAACACCAAAGGTTTCCAAGTCCAGAGCTGAGATCTCACGCAACAAACTCGGACGACAGCGGGGATGAGGGCTTTAGGACAAAGCTGGGATATGCAGCACGTGGTCACAAGTAAGGACCCACAAATCACTGGGGAGGTCCCTGGAGCTCAGACGTGGCAGGGTGGCCCGGGCTGTCCTTTCGGACAGGTGCCCTAGAATGTTTGAGAGGAAAACTTCCGGTGGCCTCCCTGCCTAGTGTCCACATAGTCCCAGGGCGGGTCCAGAACCCAGGAGCCTTCCACTGCCCGCCACTTTCAGGCTGGCTGGGCCTAAGTGAACGGAGAGGTGCCCTGTGCTGCAGGCTCCCAACCCGATCCAGGGCAGGTGTGATAGGGCAGGCAGGGGACGGGGCTCTCCATCCCACCTGCTGCCACGGGGAAAGGAATGACACCGTCACCCTCGGGACGGCACCCAGGCACTGTCCCCATCCACAGCCAACCCCACCTTGCTTGGCGTGAAGACAAAACAGCCCCCCGAGGCTGAGCCCCCGAGCGCCCGAAAACGGCAGCCAGGATGCAAGGACAGACCTTTGCAGGGCAGTGGCCCTAGCCGCACTCAGGGGTCCCTCCCACTGCGGCTTTCTGCCTGGGGGAGAGAAACTCAGTGTGGAAGAAACCATTTCCCCGCCCCAGACAGGTGGCCCCTGCCATCCTCAACATGCCCCCGTTCCCCGCACACAGAGCACGTTTCTGGATCGGGAGGCCAGCTCACACCCAGGCCTCGTGACCTTCCTGTCCTGTCCCCTACGCACCCCTGCGAGGTCAGACCAGGCTCCTCCTGCCTCTCAGAGACCCTGGGGAGTACAGCCCGCAGCTGTGCCCCACTGCCCCAGGGCCTGGCACCCAGGCAGGCAATGACCTAAAGGCCCTGAGGCCGGCAATGGACCGCCTCTTGTGCCCAGGCCTTGGGCACAAGCACAAACGAGTTTGCTGTGGAAAAGCAGCTTGAAGAAACAAAGGACCTGGAGCATTCTCAAAAACCTGAGACAAACACCAACTCACTTAGAGGAATACCCACCTCTGTTTAGCCTGCATGTGATTAGGACAGGAAGGTTGTCAGCCAGTCCCTCCAAACAACCCAACCCCCATGCTGCTGAGGAGGAAGGAACTGGTCTGACCAGTCCAGGTTCCAGCCCTCGTTTAAATTTCAAAATCAGACGTTAAGGGGAAAAGAGAGAGAAAGGCCATCACCTGTGCAAACTGCCAAAACCGGAATCTGCCCTGTGTATTAGATGATGATATGGTGTTGATATGTGCTTCCTGATTTTATCACTGTGCTGTATTTAGAAAATGTTTCTGTTCTTGGAAAACAGGACACACAGGAGCGTCCAGAGGCGCACAGGGCTGGAACGTGGCATGGAAAGCACGCAGCGGGGCCGGCGTGAGGAGATCGTGGCGACTGTGCCCCTGTTCCTGCCACTGCTCTGCGAGTCCCAAGTTATATAAACTAGGAAGCGAAAGCTGCTCACCCCTGAGAAGATGCCAGGAGCACAGCTGGCACAGGAGAGAGCTCTATGTGACCGGAGACCCCATGCCAGTGCTGTGCTGGGTGCTTTATATATTTCTTTTCCTCCTGCTCCCTGTCTGCAGATGGAAGGTTCCAGAATGCCCAGGGAGACCTCGCTGACCCGCGGTGGCAGGGACTCGGGGGCTCTAGGCAGACTTGGCGCCATCGCCGGTATCACAGCCAACACACCCGCACAGGGCGCCGGGCTCTGCCCACCCTGCTGCCGTCGGGGGGTGGCCCAGACAGACTTGCTTGGCACCAGATGACCTGAGGCCTTTCTGGGCATTTACACACAACTCAGCAGATGAAGGGTCAGCTGACCCCGCGTGGCAGCCTCTCTCCAGCCCTTCCCTGCTATGAAGGGTGCCAAAGTCATCACTCAGCTGAAGCTGGAAACTGGGGGGCCCTCCCACAGACCCTGCCCCGCCCCCAGGGGACCTCCTGGCTCTGTCACACCCTTCCATCCCTGGAGACCCGAGAGGAGGTCTGCAGTCAGCGCTGGCTGCCAGGGTATGCACCCCAACTGCCGGGATGGGATCGCTGCCTTCCTCCAGGAAGGGGTTTGGCACAAGTGACCGGTTGCTGGGGTCCGGGAAACACTCACCCTCTTCCGGCTGCTGAATGGAAACCTGCTCTGGATGACTCCCCTGTTCTTGCTCTGGGTACTTTAGGGCAACTGTGTGGTACGTACACCAGAAAGTCAGGCTCCGGTGGCTTCCCCGGCCCAGGCTGCCCACGGCAGGCACCACAGGCCGCGCCCAGGACAGGGGGCCGAGGCCAGGACCCCTCACACGGTCCGGCAGGCAGCCCTCTCCTCGACAGCCTGTGTTCACGCCTTTCTGCAGCCAGGGAGCCACCCCACTTCCAGCCCTTCTGCTGTGACAGACTGGACACCCCAAAGACAGTGGTCGGGGCAGGGGTCTCACTCCGCAGGCCGGGCTTCCCTCCACCGGCCAGTGAGATCACCTCTCACAAACTATGGGGCCGCACAACACATGGAAAGCCTGGGCTGACCTTCGCTGAGCACGTGGGAGGCGCGCCAGCTCCCAAAAGACACCACAGCCCACTGACCCCTGCCGGCCAGGCCCCCCAGACAGCGACCTCCACCGAAACACAGCCGCGCTCACCTGCAGGGGTGCCCCCAATTCTAGCCTGGCCACCCTGGGAGTGACCTTGGCCGAGTCCCCTGACCCTTCTAAGCCTCGGTGTGCCCTGCCAAGGGAGGGGTCAGAGCTGAAGCTACAGAGGTCCAGCGCAGCCCAGGGCAGGGGTTCTGAGGAGGGGCCCCACACAGAGGGCAGCACGCCACCAAGTCCAGGTGCTGGGCCCACTGCAACGGCCAGAACCAGAAGGGAGTCAAGCGGAGCAGCCCCCAGCATCACAGCCAACTGTACGGGCGTACAAACAGTCCTGGGACACACGTCCTAACCCACGGAAGCGAGCGGCATGGACACACTGGGAACCAGGCCTCAAAGAGCAAATGCTCCCAAACAGGGGTCTCACCTGGACAATCCTGCCCCCAGGGGACACTGGACCACGTCTGGGGACATCTGTGGCTTCTGGCATCGAGGGGGTGGGGGCCAGGGATGCTGTTCCACACCCTGCAGAGCCCAAGACAGCTCCAAAATGCAAGAGAGAAGCCCCAGAGAAAAGGCCCTCCACCCCCACCCCTACAGGGCAGGAGACACCTCTTGCCCCACCACACAGCGCACCCCCCAAAGGGCGCTCACGCCCACAGGCCTCAGGAAGCTCGGCCCTGCGTGCTCCCGTTCTACACCCACGGGGCCAGCCAGAGCTCAACGGAAGGCTCTCTGTGTTCAAAGCCTCCGCAAGTAACCATGCCAGAAAGAGCCACGCCCATGAGGGACCCACAGGCTCCACCCCAGGACCCCTCCAGTGATAAGTCACCTGAGCCCTCATGTGCCCCCCCATCACCCACCTCCCGCGTTTCTGTCCTGAGCAAACGTGCCCACGCCTCTCTCCAGAGACCCAGTGCTGCTTTCCCTCCCCTCCCCAAGGTCCCTCCTCGCCCTGGGGCCCTCCCCTCCCCTCAGTCACATCCAAGGGTCCCTGTCTCACCAGCCCGGGGGAACGCCAGCAGAACCACATCTGCCAGATAAAACCCCCCTCAAACTCCTCTCCAGCTCCATGACACGTCAGCCCCCAGAACCTCAGTCCGGGGACCCCTCTTTAAGCTGACTCTCCAAGGCCACGGAGGAGACCAGGACACAACCCTGACCGCTCCCCGGCCCTCAGCAAGGTGAGCGCCTGTCCGCCAGGCGGCCCAGGACGGAGAACATCTGCCCGCCTGTGGCACCTGGCTCCACGAGGCCACACGTGACACCTGCTGCTCCTATTGGGCCTCTGCCCTCAAGACCCGCCCCGGCTCTGCTCGGGCCACTGTGACAGCCAAGATGACGAAAACATGAACTAAAAGCAGTGGCCTCACCAGCCCCTGTACAGTCCAGACGCGGGGAAGCTTTGCCTTCAAAGGCTCAAACTCAAAAGTGCAGATCACCGATGGGGAGACACCCCAGGCATCCACCCACTTCCTGAGGACGCAGGTACCATTGACAGTGGAACCGCCCCTCTGGCCTGGGAGCCGCTCGGGAGGGCCTGACCAGACACCAAAGCGAAGGTCTGAGGGGAGGGTGGGCTTCGTCAGCGATCAGTGAGACTGTCACGTCCCCATAACATGGCTACCACTTCGTCTGAGCACGACGCATGCTCCCACACGGTGACCACCCCAAGTGGGCAACGGTGGTCCCCCCCACGGGAAACTCCAAGAGGGCCCATCACCAGGGAGCCGGATGAGGTCACGAGCACTGAACTAACAGCCACACAGAGTAAGGAAGTCAAGGTGGACCCGACTTCCAACAGCAAAGGGAAACAAGCCTCCCACAGAAAACAGAAACTGACCAATGTTTTGGGGCAAAGCAATAAAGTTTCTGGGACACCTGACATCTACAACTTTAGAACTCAGGTAACCTGGGTGCATTCATCAGGGTGGCGAGGGGAATGCGGCCAGGCAGGTCCCTGATCCCGATCCTGGTTCTGCTACTTGCTCTGTGGCCTCCCCAAGCTGCCTATGGGTCTGGGGTGGGTCTGCGGTGCCAAGGGTGGGACCCTCCAGACCCAGCCTTGGATCCTGGCTCCACCCTCTCCCAGGGGTTGGTACAAGCTGTAGGGGTGAACCGCCAGGGACCCCTGTCTGGCCGTCGCCTCGAGGGCACACAGAGGGGCAGGCCTCTTGGATCTGGAGGCTCCCTGCCTTCCCAGGTGAGAGGAAAGGCAGCCCAGGCCTAAAGAAGTCAGCCTCTTGGCCGCAGAAGGCTTGGCTGTCAGGAAAAGAGGCCCATGTGGCTGTGGAAGACCTGCTGCCGCTCCCTCAGGTCCTGCCCCTTTCGCCGCAACTTTCTTTCTGCCCACATCCTAGTTTCCCAGCGGAAGCGCTGCAACTTTTCACTTACCCGACACACAGCTCAGACTTCCAGTGCCTGTACGTCTTTCCTAAACAAAGCAGGCTAGGAGCTACACGCCTTCTTTCTGGTCCTCTAAACGCTGTGGGGTTCTGGAGGGGGGAGCCCACAAAACACACTTTATGTCCTATGGTGTAACGTGCTGCTGGAACCTGGCAGGGGCTCAGTGAGGCCAGCCACCCACCAGCCAACAATGACTTACTCACCAAATCAAGCGTTTTGTAAACACCACATCTGTTCAACGCTAAGTGCACGGAGAAACGTACACAAGGCCTCGGAAACCCAGCCCAGGCTGTTTTGCCATCTCCGCAAAAAGAATTTAACTGTAAAATTACGCTGATGCTGTAGAAACCAGTCTCTGCAAAGAAAACTAGACCAAACCCCTAGACTAGGGCAGAATGGGATTTCCTAGCTCCTCTGGGATCACTCCTCTCCAGCTCGTTTAGCATTAGGCAAGACTATAATTAAAGGGGAAACTTAGCTATAACAAACCTTCTCTCACTAACAGTTGCACCAAGGAGCAAGCCTGTCTGTCCACCGCCCAAGTTTCTCTTTCTCTTTATCTTAAACCCGCCCATGGGGGTTAGGTGGGGGCTGAGCGGGAAGGGGCTCCAGCAACATAAAAACAACAGTTGCAGACACCCCCATCAGGTGGCGCGGAGGCGCTGAGGTGGTGGACACTGCGGGGTGCGCTGCTTGCAGACCGGGGACGGCCCCCCATGACCTTGGCCCTCGGGCCTTCGGTTTGCGAAACTACACTTGGGAGAGTAGATGGTGGACTGGGCACTCGCTGAGTCCCGAGTGGGAGAAGCTGGGCGGCGGCAGAACTGGAACCCCCCCCGACCGGGCCGCCACGTGCGCTGACCCGCCAAGTTCGTGCACGGGCTGGGGGCTCCCTGGACCCCACAGGTTCCTGTTCGAGGTCCCCGAGGAAAAGCACGAGCACGGTTCCGCCCCCCCCTCCCGCCCAGCGAGAAATCCAGGCGCGGGGGCAGACAGGGTGCCCCGGACCGCCCCCCACCCCGGGTTCCCGATCGAGGGTCTCCCTGCGGTAAACACCGGCTCGGCGGCGGGGTCTCCCCCAGGCAGGAAACAGCAGGGACCCCCAGGTGAGGCTCGGGGTTCCTGGCCAGGAGGCGACGGGGCGCCCGGACCTCCAGGACTCCCCGGATCCCCCGGTGGAGGTTCGGGGTCCCCGACCACGAGGCGGTGGGACCCCCGGACCCCCAGGACTCCCCGGATCCCCCCGTTGAGGCTCGGGGTCCCCGGCCACGAGACGGCGGGGCGCCCGGACCCACAGAACTCCTCGGGCCCCCGGTTCCCGCTCGGGGTCCCAGGCCACGAGGCGGAGGGGCGTCCGGACTCCCAGGTCCCCCCAGGGGCCCCCGGCCCATCGCGCCCCCGGGCTCCCGACCGCCGGCTCGGCACGGCCCCGCGGCGTGACCTTGACGGGCCGGGCGGGTCTGGGCGGGGGCCGGCCGAGGCGGCGGCGCGGGCCGGCGCGTCCTCACCCGATCTCGTCGGCGCCCGAGTTGTTCATGGCGGCGGCGGCGGCGAAGGCGCTCGGCGTCCGGGCCCCCTGGCTCGCTCCCGCCTCCGGAAGGTCACTGGCCCCGGCGCCCTCCCCACAGCCGCGGCCCGGATCTGCGCAACGGCGGCGGCCGCGCTGCCTCCTCCCCTCAGCGCCAACGGTCACCACGCGTCCCCGCGCCCGCGCCGCCGCCCTGCGCTCGCCCGGGCGCGCTCCCGCACGGGGCCTCCGGGGGCGGAGCCAGGGGTGCGCCCCGTGTGCGTGCGTGCGTGCGTGCGGCGGAGCCCGCGCCGCCGCCGCTTGGCCGCCGCGCGTCGGCCTTCCTCCTCGGCGACTGCAAGCGTCGCCGCGGGGCACGTTGGGAAGTGGAGTCCCGCGCGCCGGCGCCGGCCCCGCCCCGAGGAGGGGAGAGCGCGGATCGAGCCGCGTGCGTGCGCGTGCTGCGAGCGTGCGTGCGTGCGCGGCGGCGCGGGGCGCGTGCGCGGCCGGGCGCTCGGGGCTAGGCACCGCGGGGCGCAGGCGCGGCTGCGGCTTCCTTGTTCAGTCTCGAGTGCGGGGCGGGGCCACGCGTGGGGTCAACTGTGGGAAGAGGCCACGCCCGCACCCCGCCAGGCCGCGGGAGGCTTCGGCGCCACGTTCGGCTACTGCGCCTAGACTGCTCCCGCTGCCCCCAGAAGACGATACCGACGGTCAGAGAGGCTCATTCACCTGCCCAAGGTCACTTGAGGAAAGAACTGGAATCAAATCCAACAGTTGGCTGTAGATGCAATGATTATGAAAACACATTGAGTCCCTGCCATGTGCCAAGGATTGTCCTGCCCTCATTTGTCCACACCGGTAGTTTTCACCCAGGGTGATTCAGCCTCCTTCTCCCCTCGGAGGACAATGAGCCATGTCTGGAGATACGGTTTTGGTTGTCACCACTGGAGGTGGGTGCTACTGGCATCTAGTGGGTGGAGGCTGGGGATGCTGCTAAATATCCTACAATGGGCAGGACAGTCCCTCCAGCAAAGAATAATCTGCCCAACACATCAACACGGAAGGTGGAGAAATCCAGGTCTACACGGACCATAATAAAAGCTGACCTGAATGGTGTTGTCAGATGGTGGTTTGTGCTGCGTGGTGACTTTCCACTCACTTTCTCAGCCTCTTGGTGGCCTGACAATATAAGTGATTCACCATAAAATGAAACAAAGGTGAGGAATCAAGGAACCAGGTCACAGGCAAACAGTATAACATAAAACATTTAAAATACACCTCACTTTGGCCACTTTACAGTTTGCAAAGCACATTGGCATCATCAGATCCACCAGAGGAGAGTAACTTATTAGTCCCCATTCCCAGGTGAGAAGCAGAGGCTCAGCAGAGGGGAAAGGAGTGGCCTCAGATGGCATTGGGCAGGTGTTCTGTCTTCCCCCCTGGGGGCTCTGTGAAGTTTTTCTGGTCAGAAGAAACCAGTAACACTTGCGGGGGGTGGGGGGGCTGGCTACCCACTGCGGGGGCCGGGGGGAGCACGGCCCAAGTGCTCAGTCAGACAGACACGCCCTAGGTTGCTCACACTGCATTATTAGAAGAGCAGAAAATTGGAAGCAACCCCCATGTCCATCCACTGGTGACAGGACAAATAAACCACGAAGGGCGTGAATGACATGCACAGGATGTGGTCAAATGAAGGAAGGCAGACACAAACTGTTAAAAAGAAAATACTTTTAGGGCTTCCTGGTGGCGCAGTGGTTGAGAGTCTGCCTGCTGATGCAGGGGACACGGGTTCGTGCCCCGGTCCAGGAATATCCCACATGCCACGGAGTGATTAGGCCCGTGAGCCATGGCCGCTCAGCCTGCGCGTCCGGAGCCTGTGCTCCGCAACGGGAGAGGCCACAACAGTGAGAGGCCCGCATACCGCAAAAAAAAAAAGAAAGAATATACTTTTAAAAATACAGACACCTACCAGGGATAAAAAAACAAGCAGCTATGTACCTGCCACTGAAACGAACACATGTTAGCGTTTTTGTCACGTTTGCTTCAGATCTTTTTTAAAAAATGAACTTGACGGTTTGCTTTTCCCTCCTCCCCGTTCACTTCCTCCCACCCCAGGGCAAACGGTGGGACAAAAACGGGTATGTGCACACTTTCCTGAATTTACTCCTAACGTGGGTTCAGGCATACCCAATACACAGAATATGGTTTTGGCTCTTTTTTTCATTGTGGTAAAATACATGTAACATACAAGTTATCGTATCCCTTTATAAATGCACAGCTTGGTGGCATTAAGCACATTCACATTGCTGTGCAACCATCCCCACCATCATCTCCAGAACTTTCTCATCTTCCCAAACTGAAACTTGGGAAGTTTCAGTTTGACTCCCCAGCCCCTCCCCCAGCCCCTGGCCCCCACCATCTACTTCCTGCCTCTGTGGATGTGACTCCTCCAGGGACCCCCTGTGAGCAGAATCAGACAGTATTTGTCATTTTTCTTCTAGCTTATTTCACTGAGCACCGTGTTCTCAAGGTCCATCCACGTTGTAGCGAGTATCAGTGCTTCACCCCTTTTCATGGCTGAGTGATGGTCCCCTGCGTGGAGGAACCACATAGCGTTTATTCATCATCTGTTGATAGACACTTTCGTTGTTTCTACCCTTTGGCTATTGTGCATAATACTGCTAAGAACGTGGATGTACAAATAAATGCCCATTTGGTCCCTTTTACTTTAAAACATAACTACATGTAACACTGTATACACAGAAAACATACAGCTACATGGACATTGCCTGGTAGAAGGGTGACCTGGGCAGAGGGTAGGGATCATGGCAGAGGGTTCTGTCATAGCTGCCATGTGACTTGTAATTATGTCAAGTTATTACTTATTCTTGTCCGTTCTCCCAGTAGGCTATGCGCTCCAGAGGAGTCAGGGCTGGGCCCCCTGAGGTGAGGAATTCAGTATGTGCTGAATAAATGGGTGACTTTCACTTCCCAGGAAAGAGCTGCGGGCTGTTCTGTAAGGGGGGCTGGCAAGCTTTCTGCTCAGGGCCACACAGTAAATATATTTGGCTTTGCCAGCTTTCAGGTCTCTGTGGCAATGACTCTGTGCTGTTGTAATTGGAAAGTGCCAGAGTCCATATGTAAACAAGTGGTCCTGACTATAAACTTTATTTACAGACATGCCAGTGTGACTGTTGTATAATTTTCACGTGTCTGGAAATAGTCTTTTGATTTTTTTCAACCATTTAAAAATGTAAAAAGCAGGACTTCCCTGGTGGCCCAGTGGTTAAGACTTCCTGCTTCCCCTGAAGGAGACATGGGTTCAATCCCTGGTCAGGGAACTAAGATCCCACAAGCCTCGCATCATGGGCAAAAAATAAGTAAATTTAAAAAAAATGTAAAAAACATTCTTAGCTCACAGGCTGTATCAAAACCACAGAAGGGGGATGTGACCTGCAGACCAGAGTTTGCCAACTCTATAATAGTTAGAATGTTTTGATCAACTGTGTCCCTTTTCTAATCAGAAAATAAATATTTTCCTTCTTTTAAAACATCTTTTAAGACTGTGGTCTGGAGTCAGGCACACCCCTGTTCCCATCCCCTCTGCCACTGATTTGCTGTGTGTCCTTGAGAAAGCCACCTTCCCTCTCTGAGTCCGGGTCTGCAAACTGCAGATAACAGCAGCACACGCACGCTAGACTCTCTTGAGAAAATTGGACACAATGAATGACCACGTGTCGGTAATTCATTTGAAGACATCAGCTGGGCAAGAGTGGTCACTCCATTGAGAGAAGAGGACCCCAGCCAAGGCTGGAACAGAGACCCCTTGGCTGAGTCACCAGCCAGATTGTGCCATGCCCTCAGCCACTCTTGGGGATAGAGTCCAGGCTGCACGTAGGTGACCACTGGGAGGTGGCAGCTTGGCCAGACACGGGCGGTTCCTTATTTCCTGGGCACCAAAGCTGCAGGAAAGGATCCCAGTTGACCACCGCCTCGGCTTCCTCTTAGTGTCTGTGTGGGCAGTAGCCTCTGAGACTGACCCCTACTTCTTGATATTCATAGCCTCCTGGGATTCCCTACCCTTGTGTACCTGGCTTCTAACCTGTAGGATACGACCAGGATGAGGGGATGTCCTTCTGTGATCAGATGGCAAACGGTTCTGACTTCCGTCTTGCTAGAAGCAAGTTGTCACTTCAGGGAGGCCCGCATGGCCAGGGACTGAATGGAGTCAACAGCCAGTGAACAAGCCTGGAAGAAGACGCCTTCCCCAGCTCTGGGCGACACCTTGACTGCAGCCTTGCCAGAGGTTGTGAAACACAGGACCTGTCTAGGCTAAGCTGCACCTGGATTCCTGACCCACCGAAAAATGATAAACATGTGTTGCTTTAAGTGGCTACATTTGGGGCAATTTGTTACATAGCAGTAGCTAATGAATACAGCCTGCCTTCTGTCTCCGGCCGGGCATTCCAGGGCATTCCTTGAGTTGGGTGCCAGTAGTGAGTGCCACCTGTTTACGTGGGTGGCCCAAGGATGCTGGCATAAGGATGCCTGCAAAGCCCCCGCCACAGTCACCAGGACAGCTTTAAGGAAACTAGACAACACGAATTCACATGGGCTCATGAATTCAGCGTGAGCCCAACCCTGGTGCCTGGTGACATCTACTCATCCTGCCTCCACCTGAGGGTCTCATGGAATCCGTGCTGTCCCATCCAGACCACATTAGACCCAATGTGCCCTCAGGAGTCATCAAGCATTTTCTGTGTGCCAGACGGGTCGGACAGACGATATAACCATGAAGAAATACCTTCAGTGAGTGAAATACCAAAGAGAGGTACTGAGAGATGAAACAGCTTCAAATGGGCCATAACCAGCCTGGGGGAACCCAGGGGGCCTCCCAGAGGAGGTGTGGGCTCGGGCATGAAGCTGAAAGAGAAGGAGACCAGGCCAGGAGAGAGGAGAAGCTGTCCAGGCAGAGGGGAGAGTGTGCAAAGGCCCAGGGGCAGGAGGGACACAGGAGCTCTGCAGGGAGTGGGAAGGGCCACGGGGAGGACTCTGGAGCCACGTTAAGGCTGTGAGCAGCCATCCAGAGGTGGACACAGAAGGGCAGGACTGCCTGGGTTCAAACTCTGTGACCTCAGCCTCTCGGGGCCTCAGTTTCCCCACGTGTTCACTGGGATGTGCAAAACACTTGGCCCAGATGGGGTGTTCCAGGCTCAGAGCTGGTGGCCCCCTGTGTGCAGATAGATGGGAAGGGGAAGTCATGTTTCAGGACCTGGAGGAAACCCCAGCTTACCTTGGGGGCCGGTCTCAGCGTGGCCGGCAGAGGACACAGCTGACCCCCAGGGCTGCCCTGGGGCAAGGCTTTAAGGGTGGGCGCTGCAGGGCTGCCCCGCCTGCCGTCATGGGCTGGAGGGCCCGGGGACCGCTGGGGTGGGCATTTCAGCCCCAGCACTGGAGGCCCCTGTGCGCTGAGCCCCTCATCAGGCCCCTGAGGTCTGAGGTGACCTGGGGGAGTGAGGTGAGCTCAGGAAAGGGGAGAGGCAGCCCCGCACAGGAGTCAGAGTGGGGTTCACCAGGGGTTCCCACACCCCACCCTCCCGGCCGTGAGATTACCCGCTTTGCCTCTGGAGTCTCAGTTTCCCCACCTCTAAAATGAGGACGATAGAAGAGACCACTGCAGCGCTTCTGAAGATTAAGTGATTGTATTTATTTATTCTATTTATTTTGGCCGCGCCATGCAGCTTGTGGCATCTTAGATGCCGGACCCGCGTCCTGGGCGGTAAAAGCGCAGCGTCCTAACCACTGGACCACCAGGGAATTCCCTAAGTGATTTTATATACTTAAGGCACTTCCAACCGTGTCTGGAAAATCCTTAGACCCTCCCCTCACACCCCGGCAAGGAGGAGGCTATTGACGCGGTGGTGACAGACGAGGAAACCGAGGCAGGAAAGCGACTGGGTGAGGACTCCGAGGGCTCGCTGCTCTGGTGACGAGTCCGCCCGCCAGGAGCTGGCGGCCCGGGAGGCGGGGGCGTCGCGGGGGTCCGGGAGTCAGGGGGGCCGCCTTCCCCGCCGCGGCCGCTAGGGGCCGCGCGGGCGGCCGGGCAGTGCACTCGCGCCCCGCCCCCGCCCCGCCTCCCGTCCGCCCCCTGCCCCGAAGGCCCTGCAGGG